CAGTCCCCAGAGCCAGAACGCGATAGGACGAATACAGCAGGCGACGGTCGTCGAGGCTGACCAGTCCGATGCCGATGTCAAGCAGCTCGCGGTCTACGACGTCATACTCCAGGTGTCACAGGCTCATCACGCCCACTGTGGATTCACCGACGAGTCCACAAGGGGCATCGTCAGGAAGCCCATGATCATACCCGTGAGCCTTTACTCTGTTACTCCGTCGGGGGCTGCGCTCGGGCGCTCGATATTCCGGTCTTTTCAACACTTGCCCGGGCAGGAGGCCACGCGGAGCCGTGAAAAGCCCTTTCCCGCTACCCGCCCGCGCATTTATCGCGCGGCTTCTCCCTCCTCTCCCCTCCCCAGCCGCCGCCTCGTGACAACTCGATAATGCCGAATTGCACGGGAGCTTGGCTGGGTGTCGTTAAAGGAGGAAAGCCGAGCCGAGTATTTGCTCAATTGTTGAAAGGCCGTCGTCGCGTCTATTGGGCAAAGGACGAATTCCTTCGCTTGTAATTTGCTTTAAGTATCCGTCTGCGTTCGTCCGTACCCGTGACCCGTCGATAGTAACGATAATGAGAGCCGCGATGATTTCGGAATATTCAAATTTATCCTGATTTATCAGAGTCGTTGCGCGAGAGCGAGTACGCGCCGGAGATTCACGCACCGAATGATTTATTGATGAAAGGAAAGGCGCGGGAGAGAGAGAGAGAGAGAGAGAGAGAGAGAGAGAGAGAGAGAGAGAAAGTATGAGGCAAGCCAGAACGATCGTTCGAATGGCGCGTAGGGCATAAAGTGTATTTTATGCGTTCGGTTTCGTTTAGTTTGGTTTAGTTTCATAAAAGAGCTATAAAGGGTGTTATTATTATTATTATTTTTTTTTAATAAACTTTAATTAAAAGAATTCAATTGAGTCGGCAATATTCGATCGCTTATTTAACTTTATTGTTGGTTATAAAATTTAATTTTCCCTTTTTTAATTACAAATCTTACGAGGTTCTTGTGTAATTGATACACTTCACGGATATTCAATATTGATTGAAAAAAATAAAAAATAATGATAAAGGGAAGGAATAAGTAGCCGAGAAACTGGTAATGTACGAAGGACAAAAATAAATAAATGATCCTGATGAAACGATAAAATGAACGGAAGCCTCGATTTATCCAAGATGTAAGCGCATCCTTATCAAATGCAAATACGAGCAACGATGTAGCGAGAAATCATACTTACTCCTTGAGAATTCCGGGATCATTAATCGCGGGTTAACGTCTTTTTACTATTGTATTTTATTCGTTTATTTTACATTTGTTTTTTTCTCTCTCTCTCTCTCCTTTTTTCTGGCTTTATGTTTTGTTTTTTCTTTGATTTGGATTCCCAATAAACACGCGCACGCATACGTCGGTACTCTCTAATTAAGTAATTGCCAATTAATCGATGGCCGCGGCGGTATTATTTTTGAAAAGGAAAAGAAAAATAGAGAAAAAAAAACATCGAATAAACGGGAAAGCCAATTCGTTTATCGCTGGTACGCGAATGAATTGACGCCGGGAATTCGGCTTCGTTTGCTTTAGTCTTCGGGAACCGCTTGCCCCCGGGTTCGACCGCCGCGCTACATCAAATTGAAAACAAAGCATCCTGGAATTTCATGTCCTGTAGCAACTACGAGGCGCCCTGTCGCGTCGGTTAACGAATCCTCGATGCTAAAGAACAGACGGGCGAGTAGTACTACAACGGCAACTAAATTGTACGCCCGTGAAACTATCGATTACGAGGCCACGTGGTCCATTAAAGCATCATCACGGACTCGAGAAGGACGAAGGACACGTCGCGTTCGCGATCGTAGCCCGGAGTAGCTCGCAGTCGCGACACTCGATCGACCTCATCATCAATCAGATTCGCGTTCCATCATCGGCCAAGCGCGACAAAAAAGACTAAAACCAGTCCTTGGGTTTGATGTTGCAGCCCGCGAGTCCGGAGGACCCGGAGGCGGCCTCGTCGACCGCTGAGACAGTCGAGTCGCACAGGATCTGGCTATGGCAGCAGTTCGCCGCCCGTGTCACCCCCTCGGTTCAGAGGGTCGTCGAATTCGCGAAGCGCGTCCCGGGCTTCTGCGAGCTCTCCCAGGACGACCAGCTCATCCTCATAAAGGTCGGCTTCTTCGAGGTCTGGCTCAGCCACATATCCAAAATGACATCCGACACGTCCATGACCTTCGAGGATGGCACCTACATCACCAGGCAACAGCTCGAACTCATGTACGAGGTGAGTGGCGAAAACGCGGTTACGACCCTCTTCCTCCCACCTCTTCCTTCCACCAAATCATAACGTCATCTGACCCATGCACGTTTCCCTCCCCAGCCCCTCCTCCATGGGATATCGTTACGAGATATCCTCCCTCGCTCCGGCTATTGACAATTAATGGCCGCGCGATGCCGTTCAGCCAAAATAAGTTTTTAAATTTTATCTTGAAAATAATGCGCGACACAGCGATAATCGCGTAGAGGACGCACGACCGCGACAATAACCATGTATTACGGTCCGATTGACTACCGAGACGAGATTATTTATCACTCGCGCCTAATTGAACTTAATCATTATTCTTATGTCAAATCCGTCACTTCTTTTTTTTTTTTTTTTTTTTTTTTTTTTTTCATCTATCGTTCGCTCTTGTCGAGTGTCTACGATAAAACCTAAAATTATGATCGCGCGAGACTGTACGATGAGGAAGAAAGACGCTGGAGGCATCTTAATGCCAATCTTAGCCTTGCCTATCCACGGGATTTAGAAAGAGCAATATTTAATAGATTTTAGGGAAGATTAATTCCTCGATTCTCTTGACTCGATGGAAAATTAAGACTAAATTCGAAAGTGACCAAACTCGAGAAGTGGATAATTCGGGCAACCAACGCCACCAATACTACCATAATCGACGATAACGACAGGATGATTAAATGTCCAGTTACGCTAGACGTATTATTTCTTACTGATTTTGTCCCGCGCTGCATCGTAAGTGTCCCACCCAACTCGTCCACAACGTCCCACTGAAACTGCACACGCAGAATGATAAAATAATAAAACATATTATTGTCGCGAAAGGGCCCCGAGCCCAGGTGAAAAGCGCGAGCGAGGCAATGTCGAAAGCTCAGACGGCCGTGTGCTTGATTAAATCCGTAGCCGGACTTCGTCTCGGCGGTGATGCAGTTCACCTCCGCCCTCAACAGCCACCAGCTTACGGATGCGGAGCTCGGTCTCTTCTCGGGCGCGGTCCTGCTGAGCGAGCGCCCGGGCCTCAACGACGTAAAGGCCATCCAGAGGCTCCAGGACCGACTGCTCGAAGCGCTGCGTGTCCAGGCGGTCCGGGGCCCGGAGGTCAATGGACTGGCCGTGGCCGGGATCGGGGCTCTCTCCCAGAGGATACCCGAGCTCAAGGCCCTCGGGGTCAGGCACGCCAATCTCCTCGACTGGTTCAGGCGGAACTGGGCCAAGCTCAAGCTGCCGCCGCTCTTCGCCGAGATCTTCGACATTCCCAAGTGCGAGGAGGATCTGCAGTGAAGAGAGGTATGTACGACCTCGCTTTTTTCTCATCTCTCGTAATATCTTTCGTAAATCATTCGAGTCGCCCGCTCGTGACCCTCACCTTGTTCATGCTCGCGCCACGAATTCTCGAGGTTACCGAGACTGACCAGCTAGACTACCCGACTCACACTCCTGGATGTATTCTTTTCTCTTTTTCATTTTCCTTTTATAGTTATGGTTTTGTCAGTGTCGAGGTCGCGAGGGGAGCACTCGCTCGGCTACAATTGTATTGTATGGGCGACGAGTGACATTTTACTAGCCGAGAGATAAGGAAGAGACGGCACGAGATGGGTGCCTTATTCTACTTACAACACCTACGACTATTACTACTGCTACTATTACTAAGGCTACTGCTATTACCACCACTACAACCACTATCACCACTATCACCACTACCACCACTACTATCCGTCCTGTCTAAAGCAAATTCAACGGAAGCAAATCCCCTCCTCCTTAATTCATTCGGCCGACATTATCGTGAATTGGCAAAGCTTTTTCGTACTTGCGAAAAGATATATCTTAGCTTCGCATTCTAAATGTTTATTCAACGGGCTTATAGCTATCCCGATAATTAGCATAATAGCGCCCTTCCAAAATAAGATCCATCGAATAATGGACTGGAAGTTTAATCTCGTTAAAGACAAGAGTGTAATTCAAGTTGAAAATATAAGGCCCGATGACATTCTTATAAAGTCTACTATCTCTATAACTCTTATAAAGATAACCACTGCTTATGTTTATTTTATTGTATTATGAAATATAAATATAAACCTAATGAAATATATAACATATAGCGTCAACGATCAAATTTAAGTTAAAAAAAAAAATAAAATAATAAGTATTTTGTATGGGTCCTGCACTTGCTTTTTAAATCGTTATATCGTTGAGACGTTTACGTTGCCGAGGAAATTGATTTTTTTTTTTTTTTTTTTAAATAAAAAAGACAATATACGTATATAGCCTAATAATACAGGAATTAGTGAAGGAAAATTACAGCAAATCAATATAGCTTCGGGTGAAAAAACTTTTTTACTTCAACTCGTATCGCGTTTACTTTCACATACTCTAATATACATTTATATTTATTGGTCATTGGTTTATTCAAAATTCAAAATTCTGTCAATTAAATGCTCGATATTTAATTGAAATTCACTTCGATTCACTTTTAATACTAATAATAACCAGATGGAGATAATATGTGTATCGAAACAATTAATCAATTAAAAATATGAGATACAATTGATATTCGTAATTAAAAATATGCTTTTACATGTACGTAAATTCGCAGAAACAATATGCACGGTAATACGAATAAAATAGAATTTCTGATAAAACCGGATGAATAATACCGTTGTAAGCTCTCGGTAAATAGGCTAATATAAAAATTTCGCCTATTAATAATTTCAATTCAAAATATATATTTTATTACGTATTATATACCATTAGGAAAGCTACGACTGACAAATAAGGCTCGATGCTTTAAAAATTCAACTTTAAAAAATTTTTCAAATTCAGACATTACTTTGCATTCGTCTGATTAAAAAAAAAAATCGATATATATTATTCTCAATCAATAATGATAATCATAATCAGAGTATCTGCAGTGGAAATAATAATTGTCAATGCGCATTCGGTCGAATGACCCAAAGAATTAAAAATTTCAAAGTCTATTTAAAAAGTTACGTTTCGTTAGAGCTATGATATGCTGTAGCTCTATCCTTCTTCTCACCACTCGCTTCCGTTACGTGAGCTTTTGAGATTTGCCCCAGGAAACGTCTTTTGCTAAATGTACGACAAAGTCTCGACGACAATAAAAAGTCGAGTTACTTTTTCTCTAAAGAACTCTACTTTCACGTTACTTTTGAATCTTTATTAGATTCTCACGACATTCCGCACATTACTCCCTTTGTCACTCTTAATTTCTCAAAGTAAACAATTTGAGATAAGATTTTTTAATTAAAAATTATTAATTTTTTATTTATAATTTTTTTACATTATAAATGCAATACTATTTATTTTACTCCTATTATATATAAATAGATTATTTAAATAATATATGTACATTTTTATCTGTAAATCATGATGATATGGTTAATGATAAAATTCCTTAATGAATACATCAAACTTTAGAAATTTGTTTCATATTATAGGGGATAATGGAAAAGAAAAAATTTTTAAATTTAAATTCTAAAAAAATTAATTTATATAAAGTACGGAAGCAATCATTAAAATAAAATGCTTTCAAAATACAATGAATGAAAAAATTCATGAAATTATTATTTTATAACTCGCATTACGTGTATATATATATATATATATAAAATTTTAGTCAATAAAGTAAATAAAATATATAAATAAATGTATTTTAGAACGCTTCATTGGGCAATCACAATTTTTTGTTTTTTTCTTTTTAATTTCAAACAATCAAATACATTTAGTCATTTCTTTAGAGTTTTTATATATAGAAATGTATGATATTATATTGTAACTATGAAATCTTTTTAGTTGCCTTCGCATGATTTCATAGCACACAAGTATGGAAAACATATTATTTTCGAAAATCTATATAATCTCTACTTCAACGTACGCTATTATTTAAAAAGCTTTAAAAAGCTACTATAAACTGAAAATTACGATAATTCACTTTAACCATATATTATATTCGTTTCATTAATTTGCAGGAAATAGAAATCATTATCAGGATCACGATTTCCAGTGCATTTGATAATCATTTGCGATTATTGCAAAACAAAGAATCAAATAAAAACGTGAGCAAGACGAACCGAAGCGACTTTGTTTTTGGCCTCTCATTTGAAAGTGAGAATACGTCTATCGCAGTCAACATACGACCAACAACGGCAAACACAACATGAAAGAAGACGAAGAAAGTTTCATTGCTTCCCTAGTCGAATAATAAAAAATATCTGTTTAGTATGCTCTCTTTACTGCTTTCATGAATTGGATTTAGAAATTTTAAACTCGTTGTCTTTGTGCATGAATTACCTTGTAAAGTATTTTCATCGGCAAAACAACGAATCGATTGTGCATGTGTGTGCGTGTATGTGTGCGCGTGTATATATATATATATATATATATATATACACGCGCACACATACACGCACACACATGCACAATCGATTCGTTGTTTTGCCGATGAAAATACTTTACAAGGTAATTCATGCACAAAGACAACGAGTTTAAAATTTCTAAATCCAATTCATGAAAGCAGTAAAGAGAGCATACTAAACAGATATCTCGCGTCCAAGACAATTACACAGATCCAAGATATTCAATTTCAATTTTGGAGTAACAATCACATTGTATTGGATGAATTCTCAATTCTCCAAAACACCATCATTTAGCAATATAAAAATTGATCTCTCGGGAATAAAAACGTCCTCCATTGAGCAAAGAATTACTAATAATTTATTCGAAAAATTTTAATGAATAATATAACTCGTGAACATTCTTGCTAAATGTACAAGAATTTGCATCAGCGTTTCTTAAACTTAAAGACACGCTGGCTTCTCTTAAAGCTTAAAATATATAGAATAAATAGTAGTGCTTACAGCAAAGATGTATAATAAATATATAATAGCCTGAAAAATTTAAGAGTAAATTTATGAACATTTTTAAACGATAATCGATGTGCACTAAAAGAAAGATTAACTACATTATAAAAGATGTATTAAGTTATTACAAAAATTTTATTTCGTTTTTTCCAATTGTGTATTTCTTTCGGTGCATAAATAGAACAAGAATCTAAGTAATCCATAATAAAAGATAGACTTTCTTAAATATTCGTCTCAGATTAAATAAGATGTTGAATAGAAGTCTCTTGAACTAAATATGTCTAAATAATATTAGGGATACCGTAACTACTTTATTCTTGAAAAAAAAAAAAAAATTAAACATTCAATTTATAAACAATGGGTGTCATGACATTAATATGTAATAGATTCAATTTTTTTTTATAAAATCTTACTAATTTCTGAATAAAGCTCAGTGTACAAATATATATATATATATATATATATATATATATATATATCGAGTACATAAGAATGAAAGAATGAAATATTGTAGAAGAAGATCATAACGTGCTGCAACTTCATAGAGATAAAAATATGTCTCGTCGCACTCTATTCCTATCCCCATTACAATATAGATGCACTGAATCAGTCTCAAGTTATGCAATTATATTTTTATTATTCAGCGTAGATATATGCATGCATACATATACGCATAAAAATGCATTTGTCAGTGTATATGCGTGTCCGTGCCAAATAAATAAATAATTAAATAAATATACATGTATTTATTTATTTATTTATTTATTTATTTGCATGCATAAATATATATATATATATATATATATATATATATATATAACGTAAAGTAAAAAGAAAAAATTGCATAGGATTTTATTATTATATAGAACAGTAACGTTTTTTCAATGCAATATCGACACTTTCAAACGTTTCTATAAGTAATAATAATAAAAGTCAATAAATGACAAAAAATAATTTTAGAAAAGTGATCCTGAAAATCAGATGCATATCGAAGATGGACAATGTTATTAAGAATAAATGCCTAAATGTATTAACTATTGCCTTGTGCAAAAATCTATTATATTTATCGCATTTTCAAAAAATTAATTACTTCAACGTACTTAAATAAATAATTGTATGCATATATATATATATATATATATATATATATATATATACATATACATATATACACATGTATATGGATGAAACTCGATTTATATTTATAAAAAATAAATAAACGTAAATAACAAAGTTCGTGGTTATGATATAAAAAAAGTTATATCATTAACTTTGTAAAAGCAAATAAATAAAACGTGCAATATTTTAATTCATTAGATGAATATTATTGATAATTTAGTTAATTATTTACTTAGTCGAGAAAGACTTTATTTAGCAGAAAGCTTTTGGTATACTTAAACGTAAAAATATTAATCAATCGATGCTTATAAAAAAAAAAAAAAAAAAAAAAAAAAAAAAAAAAAAAGTATTGCAGGCAGTAGCTTTCATGTCAACGTTCAAAGCATATCATCCATCGCGATAACAAGTATTTCTTATTAAATGTAGCACCACTGCGTTCATCTTTCGATTAGATTTCAATTTGAAATTATGCGCTATCATAGACATGTCGTCGTAAGCTCTGAAATCGTTGATAAACTTCCTTTGAGATTAACTATATAAATGATATTTTTTAAAAACGCACAGATTGAGCAATGATTTGTCGTAACATTACGAATTATATCGGCTACGTGTGGGGAGATCAAAAGTCGTTTATTGCGTTTTATAACCGAAACGCGTAATTTCTTTAAAAAATTGGCAATTATTTAGTTTAATGTAAAATTAACTTTAGTTAAATTGAAATGCATTTCAATTTGAAACAGAAAATTTTAAATATCTCCAACAAAAGTGAATGTTTATTTAGCTATATCAACGATTTTTCTCTACTTTGTTAATGTAATTAATTACGAATGAAGAACCAAAATATGAATTCAATGGCCATCCTATAAAATTGCGATATTTGATCTTCCTGTTTGACATTGACAGTACTATACTTAATTAATGACTATTCATTATTTACGTGCGAAAATAGGTTAAACGTACTTAAGCTTGCACTTTGTGGTTTAACATAAAAGAAATTTCAACTTTAAGCGCTCACATCAAGTTGTGAATAAACATATCATACTTAACTAATATATTAAAAAAAATAAAATATATTACAGTTTAATATATATATATATATATATATATATATGTGTGTGTGTGTGTGTGTGTAAAATTGAAAAAATCTTGAATTATATATATCTCGCATTTAATGTGTTTCTGTTGCGATCAAGAGAAATTTTTCGCGTCAATTTATAAAGTCTATCTATTTTTCAATAAAACGTAAAATTATTTATCCCATTTAATCCATTAAAAAAAATATATTAACCTTGACGATAGCACTTGATGGTATGAATTATTACAAATTGCACATGTATTTTATCAAGAATTATGATAAATTATGATAAAAAAAAAAAACTTATCAACCATTACACGGCTGATCCCAACAGATTCACATTAGTTCTCGAAATCAAATATAGACTGGACAAATGTTTTTAATACATTAATACATATACATATACATATATATATATATATATATATATATGTGTGTGTGTGTGTGTGTGTGTGTGTGTGTGTGTATGTGTATGTGTATGTATATAAAAAGTAAAAAATGAAATATAACAATATAAGAGTATAACAAAGAAAAAACAAATTTAAAATTTTGCATGAATAAGGATTATGCAATTATATCGAGAAATGTATATTGATTATATAAAGAATATAGATTATATCAATATTGTACATTGATCAATATTGATCGACCTCTCGTACGACGATGCATTCAAAATTTTCTAGTCCCGATAAATTTCTTCGCCGACTCGACACCGATACTTACATTCTACGTCGGGAAGTATTTATATTTTTGTTCTTATTCTATTATGTTTATTGATTAATTTTTTAATTAACTTTTTAATACGCCAATAGTTGTCGCGATACCAAGAACTATCGCGCAAATCGAAAACAGTTATATATATTTGATTAAACTACTAATGACTTCATTAAATACTCTTAACAATTTAAACGTTATTAAGGCTATTGTAGTTATCGGTCTCCTTGAAAATCATAACCGTAAGAAACAATCCTCTTGAATTTCACATAAAATTTCACATAAAACATTATTCTAACCTTCTCAATAGCTTCCTATTCGCTTTAATCTTAGGAGGATGTCGTTAAATTTCCAAGCTCATATTTCAACAATGCGATGCTTTTTTTTAATTTTTTTTTTTTTAAGTTTTTTGTTTGACATAGATAAAATTAATAAAATTATTATATATAAATATAGCATTTATAAATGGACACGCTTTATAGGTAATTACAAAAAAAAAAAAAAAAAAAAAAAAAAAAAAAAAAAAAAAAAATTATTCTTTACGTTTGGTTAATTATAAAAAGATATAAAGTTACCAGAAAATAAGTTTAAAAAAGTATTAAATAATTATTATATTGGAAAGGGAAATTTATAAGTTTTTGAAAAAAAAATCGATTTAAAGAAGTAACTTTTTAAAGTTATCTAATTCCACTAATTTGTCAGCAATTTGTATAGCATACAATTGACTTTTGCAACAAGAAAAAATAATTAAAATAATTAAAATAAACAATTAAATAAATAAATAAATAAATAAATAAATAAATAAATAAATAAATATGAAGATTGTGATGATATGAGAACACCAATATTAATCTTACTACTATTACTTTATAAACATTTTTGTTAATTAATTAATACGGTTCAAATGTGTAAAGAAAAAAAATTGTTAAACAATTTTGTAACTATATGACAAATTCGAATTGCATAATATTTTACACGCGTTGCGCATGAAAATAATAATGTAAAAAATGTATAATAACGAAAGACAAATGGTAGAAACGCTCGTTTCATAATTTTTTATGTCTCCTTCGTTCATCAATTGAAAGATCAGCGTAGGGAAAATAATAAAAGGAAATTAGCGCTTGAAAATCTTCACGGCAAAATCCTCACTATAGCGGCGTGCGTCTATATACGTTAAGGTGCTATTTTACCAATCCGCGTAAATTTATCGCTGTTATCTATACACGATTGTCGATATCTCATTAACTCGATCCCCGCGAATAATGACGTCTTGTCGTCCCTGGATTTGACGTCGAAGCATATGTGTGATCCTCAATATGACGCGCTTCGTAACATTTCGATGATATTCCTTCACAAGGATTATCAATCATGAACATTACGTATGATGATAAGAATAGCCTCATACGTCATATAGCGCAATTGTAGAAGTGATTTG